AAAAATATATTTAGGCTTTTTTTTATATTTATACTTTACCAGTTATTTTCTCAAAAATTATAAATACTTAAACATTCTGTGAACGTGAATAGTAACTAAAGAAATGTTTATATGTACAGACATATATGAATTATGAAAATAGTATATAATTATTTCATAAACTCAATGCTCATAATCTATTTATTCTCAAACAACACTAAACAAATATATCTTAAATATACAAAGCTTCTAATAGAAGAGTGAACTTCATACCGTCAAACTTTTTTTTTGGAAAAAGTCAAACAAAATTATTGATACATATTTTTCAGTGCATTCTGATGATATCTATAACTAGTTCTCAGATTATTTTTTCTTGCATAATTTTCCTTTTCTAACAGTGATATCAAAAAAAGAGGATCCATGTTATGGATTTAAAATGATCTCTTTCGGAGTCGTTGGTGCGTAGGAGTAATCATACACGTTTGGTGCATAATTACAAGAAGCTATATAACAAAGAAATGTGAGTCTTAATAAAATTTGATTTGATTACAAATATGATTCATTTTAGAAAGTAGGGAATAGTTTAAGCAGTAGGGACTTGTTTAAGCAAAAAAAATTTCTTTAGGAAGTAGGAAATTATTTAGGAATAGAATTTTTTTACACATAAAATTTGTTTAGGAAGCCAAACGGAGGCTATTTAAGGTCAGCTAGGTATTACGGTTTTATGATGTTTTCCTCATAATTAAAAACTTAGGAGAATTTTATTAATAAAATTAGGGCTTCTTATTTTTAGAATTTCAGATTTGTTCTTAGTGTTCTTAGACTATGTATATACTTGATTCATTAGTGATTACATAGAAATTTTATACTGCATGACTCATTGGTGGTGTAAAGTAAAGTTTGGGCTCTCATCAATTTGTGCTTTCATTGAGAGAATTCGATCATCTGCAGCGGTGGAAGGAGAGTTATTAACTACTGATAATCAAGCCTTGTCAAATCGAAAGAGGCTCACTAGTAGAAAACAGCACTGCCCAAACGGTTATTGCAACCGTTTGGGAAAGTCGAAAAATCCCAAACGGTTCTAACCGTTTGGGATAATAAACCCAAACGGTTAAAACCGTTTGGGCTGTTAAAAAATTCCAAACGGTTGAACCAAACGGTTATAACCATTTGGGATACATTAGCCCAAACGGTTAAACCCGTTTGGAAGTTTTGTTAAGTTCTTTTAAAAAAATTAAAAGTCTTTTTTCTTCCTTCCCCCCAAAAATTTCATCCCAGCGCGAAAAATTCATCCCCAAATATTTCAAGACCGCACCCTCTCAAACCCCTAACCCCCTCGTCCAACCGCGTCGAAAATCCCTCATCTGGCCCCGTCGAACTCCGACCGCGGCCGCCGGCCAAGGCACCTCCTCATCCTCCAGGACTCTCGCTCCTCCGCCTCATCTTCGCCGCGGGCCATCGTACCCCCTCCGCCTCCCTCATCTTCGTCGGCGCTCTCGCGCGCTCCTCCTCCTCCGCCTCCATCGATTGCATCACATCCTCGTCTTGCTCGTTCTGCTGGTCTTCGCCAACATACCTCCTCCTGCTGCTGGTCTTCGTCGGGGCTGTCGCTCCTCCGCCTCCTCCTCCACCGCCTCCTCCGCGATTAGACTTCTTAGAAACGTAGGGTGAAATTTAGGGGCTGATTAGACTTTAAGCTCACAATTTGGGTTTGATTAATTGTAGGCTTCAGAAGAACATGGGATGGGCCCGAGAGGATATTCTGTGGTTTGTGGGTATACAAATTATCACATGATGCTGGAGGATGCTTTGGCGGATTTGAAGAAGAAACATATTAAATTTTAGATTTAGATGTTTGATAAGTTTTGTTCATGTTTCAGGGTAGAGTTAGTGTTGCAGACATCATTGGATTTTCTAGTTCAGTTTGATAAGTTTTGTTCATGTTTCAGGGTAGAGTTAGTGTTGCAGACATCATTGGATTTTCTAGTTCAGAGATGATATCTTCAAAACCTGATGGTGAGTTGATAGTATTAAATGTTAGTTCATTCAGATGCTGTTATTAGCTTGCATAGGAAATGATTTGCTTTATTGGTATTTTTCCTTTTCTATTACAGGGTCTTTAAAAGCTTGGGAGAGTTATATTGATCTTGAAAATCTCCTTAAGCATGAAATACATGATGGACAATTAAGTTTCAGAGGCAAACAAGTACTTGAGGTAATAATTTAGTTTTAGAAATCTCTTCAGTTTTGTGCTATGACGTTGTTTCTTGTTTATTTCAGTGTCTTGTTCTCAAGTTAATCATTATCTGAAATATACTACAAAATAAAGCTGACCAGTTTTAGTTAAAGAAATAAATAAAGTGTGAGACTATTATCAATTTTGAGTCTTTTGACTGATTTAGCTTTTAAAATTATCTGAAATATACTAATTACATTGATAATAGAGGTAATAGATGATTCTATTTAGGGAGGAAAGTTAGCATGATTATTGGTTTCTATTTTAGGTTAATACACTGTAACTGCCTTCTTAGAATTTCTGTATATACCTTGTCAATGTTTTCAGTGCTTATCTTTGCTCACATTTCTGTTCTCAAATGTCATATGCTTGAAGTAGCAAAGAAAATGTTTTCCATTTTTTTTGTTTTTGTTTTTTGTTTTTTTTTTCATTTGCATTTTCCTGGTTGTGAGTAAATGCAGAGTCTGAAGCTTACTCCAAGCAAATATGATGCGAAAAAGGTTAAGGAGATTGGTTTTTTTAACTGAAGTATTAAAGGTCAATTATTCATGCACTCAATGAGTGATGTGGTGGAGAGATAGCCTTCAGAAACTGAGATATAACTTGTTGTAATAAGGTAGACTTTAAGAAAATCTATTTACTTGTTAACACATTTATTTCCTCGAAACCTTTTCAGGAAAAAGCTTTCGACAGGTAACTAAGCCGTGAAAGAAACTGATGATATTGTATTTAGAAGAATGCTGATTTCTACAGACCTAATTTAATGTTTCTTGAAAGTTATATCTTTGCATCTCTCAGTTGACTGTTTGTAATCTGGATTAAAAATGGATTAGGTTGGCAAATTTGCTTATTAGTTAGCTAGAGAGTAGTTATGTCTTTGTTTCAACAAACCTCATTAATAGGCATATGGTAACAAAAAGTTATAGAAAACTAACAAATTGCAAGTATGATAAATTATTAGTTCCATAAGTTTGGTATATCTGATATATGACAAGCAAAATTTGGCAAATTTTCAGGTGATATCAAAGCAATTGTTCGATGTTCTAAGAGAAAAGCACAGAGAGGAGTTCAATTCCTTTATCACTGAGAAAGTATCTCCTATTGCAGGAGACATAACTATTGAGAACTTAGGTATAAGTGACACTGATCTTAGAGAAACTTTATGGAACAAAATCGATATTGTCATGAATGTAGCAGCGACTACCAATTTTTACCAGAGGTACCCATGATATTAAATCATTAAATCATATGCAAAAGTTTGGCTGCTATCCGATGACAGTTCTTCTTACATAAGAAAGTTGTCTCACTTATCATATGCATTTTATACCATGAAATGTTTTCTCTGTGCTGTAAATTTAGTATTGGGGTAATTTCTTGACAGTTGATGTAGGATCTGAATCTCCATGTTTACCCTGTTATGTATTTGGTCTTTTATTCAGGTTTGTCTTGCAACAATGTCAATGTTAAATCTTTTCGTTATTTCATATTCATAGGAACCCTGGCTGATTTGCTTGGCGCTGTTTCACGTTACCGTGCGTATGGTAGCTTTCATTTCAAGGAAAAATGTCAACTTCCAATTTTTGTACTAGTGAAAGAAGCTCACTTGGTGCTCAACGAAAACGATCCTGATTGGGTGAAGAAGCTCACTTGGTACGACATTGTACTGGTTTTCAATGATGGGAAGAGTAGGGTCAGGCTGAGGATTCGACGCAACTAGCTCTACTTGCAGGGCTTTTGCGTGAACAACGATGGTAAATGGTTCGAGCTCAGAGATAAGTGCCTGATCGATAAAGACTCAAAACACTTCTTGGTTACAGGCATAACTACACTGCCCTGTTACGCGCAGCTGGCTTCGATCCAGTAGGAGGTCTCACTGAAGTCACTCTTGGGCGACAGAATCTCAAGAATGCAGCACAATGGCTTGGAAACTCAACAACTGACGTCACGAAAAGAGCCCAAGCGCTGCTCATTGTGATTGGTATGTTCTGTGATTCTGCGAGGTTTATTCCGAATTATAATCCAGTAAAGGTTGTGGCTCAAATCGTCGATGAACTGCTGGAATATCTTGGCGTACTGCAAAGGGATCTGAGAACTATCCATGCTCCTGCGGGTTGATCAGAGTGAAATTCTGTGGGTTTTAATAATAATGCTATAAGGAATAAATGTGAGCCTGCTAAGGTTTCCATGGGTTCGGAGTGATGTTGTGCTCCGATGAAGTCTAAAGTCTTTTTCTGAGCTACTGTAATGGGCAACTAGTCTTTTGTATGTATATATTTTGTCTCTAAGTATATTGAGTAAACATTGTGTATGAATATATAACATTGGGTATTTAGCAAAGTATGAGAATATTTTGATTTCATTGTGAGATGTTTAGTACTTTGTGTGAGATGTGTATATAAACATGTAGATAAATAAAGAAGCCGCAATTTTAAAACTATCAAAATAAATAGCCCAAACGGTTTTAACCGTTTGGGCGAAAAATTGCCCAAACGGTTTCAGCCGTTGGGCTAACTTTTGGCCAAACGGTTACATCCGTTTGGCCAAATTTTAGCCCAAACGGTTATAACCGTTTGGGCTAATATTTGGCCCAAACGGTTGTAACCGTTTGGGCAACATCCCAAACGGTTGTAACCGTTTGGGATTTTGCCCAAACGGTTGCGACCGTTTGGGCGACCGTTGGGGACAACTTGTCCCCAACGGCTTTAGCCCAAACGGGTGTTTTACGTCGCCCAAACGGTTGTAACCGTTTGGGAGGGGGTTTTCCCAAACGGTTCCAACCGTTTGGGCTGACCTGTTTTGTACTAGTGGCTTGATAAATTGGAGAAGGTGTATGAAGAGAACAAGAAAAAGATCAGAGGTCTAACGAAGGCGATTGAATGATTGACTTTGTCAGTGACGAAAGTGATCAACAACAAAGCACACAATGAGGACAATGGTTGTTGGTGGAGGACTCATGGGAGAGGTGTTCGCGGGAAAAATCGTAGGTTTCTTTGTTATTGATTCCATTGTCATCTTGAGTTACAACTTTTTGAGTTACAAAAGATCCGGTCTTTTTATAAGATCCGGTTACAACGAAAATCAAATAAAAATAAACAAAGATTGTGGCTCGGCCAAAGCCGATCCACCTTGAGGTGGCTCGGCTTTGGCCGAGCCCCCGCGGGCGGTGTTTTTTCCGACTTTTTCGAGTTGTTTTCCGTTGTTTCCGGTTCTGTCCGTGATTCGGTTGATTGAGACTCTGATTGGTTGATCTGATTTGGCAGTAAGTCGGATTCCTGATTTGGCAGTAAATCCGATTCTGAGTTCGAGTCCAAAACTGATCTTGATTCGATCGCGATTCGTCCGAGTCTGTTCTCGTTTGGATGACTCGTTGATTCCTTAATACTTGGCTTGATTCCGAACGCGTATGGATGCATTCCGTCACTTCTGTGCGATTCGTCGATCTCGTCGCTTCGTTGGTTCGTCGGTTTGTGCCGAGCTATGCTAGGGGACCTATAAGCAATTTTATATGCCTACAGATACCCCCTCCAAAGTATTTCAGTCTCGTTCTTTTATAGAAGAGTCTGGGATACTTTGGATATGATTGTCCCTACCTTCAGTCGGTATAACGGGACCTCGGAATGGCTTCTGTTCTTAGTGGACCGCGTGGGGAGATAGGCTAGGCAGGGAGAGATACCATAGGGAGAGAGAGACCATTGATTTATTTTGATGGAGGGCAAGATGGTCATTAAAATTCGCTGAAACTTCCTCCATTTTCCCTCCCCTCCTCTACTGGCCAAATCGGAGGGAACCATTTCTCCCTCTTTTTTCCTTCCTTCCCCCTTCCTTCCCCCTCTCTATCCCCCTAAGAAAACTTCCAAAAAAGGTTAAAATTGGATTTCTCTTCCCCTCCCCCTCTCTACCCTCCATCAAAACAGTCTGTTAGTGTCCTTGACTGTGTGTCATTGTTTGGTGGAAAATTTGAAGCAAAAAGACAATAAAAGAAAATTAATTTGTATTCTATCGATCTTAATTACAATTTGAATTCCCGATTATAAAAGAGAGGAGAATGATCTGGATTCTCCCCTTTGTTTAATTCTAGGTTCTTCACGGTGGCGATGGAGTGCTGCATTTATTGTCTGACCGTTGTCGGAATTTTAAACTTGAAGTCGATTCCTGATTTGCTAATCTTTAGTTGACCATCGATTGGCGTCGAGTCTTTATCTGCAACGCGTTGTCTGGCGTCGTGTTGTTGAGTTATCCTTAAGAATAAAAACATTCTCCAGGAACTTCTCAACGAAAATTAGGGATAATTCTAGGTTCTTCACGGTGGCGATGGAGTGCCTCCCTCGAATGCTCGCGTCGAGTTTGCTCTCCGTCGACGATCTGCACGTCTTGATTCGCTGGAACAGTATTTCCTCCTCACGATTTGACGATGTGGAGAGCTTGCGTGGTAAGTTTGAAACTCTTGATGAGTTGATAACTCTGAACGATTTTGAAACTCTATGAAAGAGTTGATTTAACCGAAAATCGGTTTGACAAGCCAAGGCCAAAGGCTTCAAGAACTTTGTTGCTACAGGAAGCTCTAGCAATTCTCCCAAAAAGCTAGCCGAATATCTCTTCTTCGCTGCCCAAAAAGAAGGATCAATCTCAGAGCCAAAAAATCCAGCCTGAACTCAGTTGAGTTTACCCCTATTTATAGGGAATTAAGGCGTGTAACCGCCCCCTTAATTCGCTCCTAAGTAGGGCTGAATAGGGTGTAACCGCCCTCTTAAACAGCTCCCCAAATCATGAGGAAAATGGTTTTGAAACCATTCAATTCGTGTTGTGAACGAGTCAAACGCTGAAAAATAGCGTTCAGGGCCCGAACTCTGCGTTTTAGACTTGAAACGCAGAGTTGGGCCTATTTTGGTGTTGACTTTTTGATCGCAACGCGTTGAATGGCGTTGACCTAGGGTTACGCGTTGTCCGGCGTTAACCTTAAGGTTTTGAACGTCGTACGTTGCTCAAGTCACGAGACCAACTAATGAAGCTAATGCGTCAGTGACCCTCGCATTTATAGGATTTTTGGCAAACCCTCAGCCATCAACGGGTTTGATGAGCCTTTACCGACTACCGTTTGAGTCGGGCTAGCATGCGGATTGTTCAAGTCCAGGGCCCGAACTCTGCGTTTTAGACTTGAAACGCAGAGTTGGGCCTATTTTGGTGGTTGAACGCACAGATCGCGCTGTGTAGAAATGAACTCTGTGTTTTGGGCCTGGGACGCAGAGTTGAGCTCTGCATGAACTCTGCGTTTTGAGTTTGGGACGCAGAGTTGAGTTCTGCATGAACTCTGCGTTTTGAGTCTGGGACGCATAGTTGAGCTCTGCATGAACTCTGCGTTTTGAGCCTGGGACGCAGAGTTGGGCTCTATGCGAACTCTGCGTTTTGTGTCCACGAACTCTGTGTTTTGATGTTGTAACATAGGGATGACCTCTGCGTTTTGAGGTGGTAATGCAGGGAGGACCTCTGTGTTTTGCTTCTGGGAGTTTGGAACGCGGCCACGAGCTATGCGTTTTGAATCTGGGACCCAGAGGTGAGCTCTACGTTTGGATTTGAAGAGACTGTCAATTTGTAGTCTCTTTTGCTAAAGCGTTGCAAAGACCGTCACCTTGTAATCTTCGTCTTGGCTCCTTAAAAATATGAGAGTCGTCAGATTATAGCTCCTGATGTTGATTGTGAAGGCTGTTGATTAGAGATTTCATCAGTTGGTGTGAAGGTCATCAGATTGTAACCTTCATCGATTTACGTGAATGTCTTCAAATTGTAGCCTTCTGGAAACCATCCAATTGTAACTTTTATCATCGGTGTTTGATGAGGATCAGCGATCTGTTGTGATTTTTAGATAGCCTACAGCCATGCCCCGCACCCTATATCACATTGACTGTTGAAGTTCAGAAAAATAGTAGAAAATAGTTTTTCAGGTTGTCCGGTCGACCACGAGTCAGCTGCGGTCGATCGAAAATGTGCACGAGGTCCAGGATGATTTCTGGAGGTGAGGCGGTCGACCGTCATGGATGACCGAATGGATCCTGTAATTGATTTCTTCTCTGGAGTTAGGTTCGGTCGACCGTGGCGGTCGACAGACAATACCCTGTAGGAATTTAGTGTTCTGTCGATTGCTGGTCGGTCGACCGTGTCGGTTTTTGCGGTCGACCGCCAGTCGGGCTTTGAGTTGGGTTTTGGTTTTCTAACCCGTTTCGTTTACTGTTGGTATATAATCCTAAACCTGATTAATTAAGGTTAAGTAAGGACGATTTGAGCAGTCTTTGAGAGAGTGTTATTGCATCCTTTGTGGGAGGATTTGTAAGAGATCTAGAGAGCTTTGTTTGAGGGTTTTTGGTAAGATTTAAAACCCTATTTGTAATTCTCTTTATCTCTAAAAGTAAAAACTTCTCCCTCTTTACCCCATGGACGTAGGCAACTTATCAAACCATGTAAATTAGTTTGTCTTGCTATGATTGTGATTTGTACTTGTGTTTTTTGTTGTGATCTTTCTCGTTCTTGTTTGTGCACTATTTGTCTTTCGAGTTTCGTTGTGCACAACAAGTAGTATCAGAGCTTCGGGTTTGGCTTGGAGCTTGTTCGAAGGATTAGGTGAAGGATTCTTACTTGGAGAGTTAGATTTACAATATAGGAGAAGCAAGCACATCGGGGTCGTCTCTTACAAAGGCGATACAAAGTCTGAGCATCAATAATACAAAGATTGATATTCCGAAGTTCGATGGTAAGATCAATTTCGGTTTGTGGAGGTGTTAGGTGATAGATACGTTGGATGCACAGAATTTTGAGGAGACTCTTGAGTTACAAGAGAAACCTGAAGACATGGAGGACAAGATTTAGAAGAAGATGAACAGTAATGCTTATGGAGTTATTCGGTCATGCTTGAGGCCGGATCTTATTTATGATGTGATGAACGAGACGTTGGCGAAGAGATTGTGGGAAACGTTCAATGAAAAGTATCTTACGAAGAGCATTGAGAATCAGCTTTACTTAAAGAAGAGGTTTTACCAGTTCAAGATGAAGAGGGGAGTTTCCATTAGGGAGCATGTAAATAACTTCACGAAGTTACTTTTAGATATGGCCAATGTGGACATCATGGTTGAGGATGAAAACAAAGCGATGCTACTTTTGTGTTCGTTGCCAGAGGATGATTATGGTACGATCATTCTCACTATGATCAATAGAAGAAATATTTTTAGTTACAAGGAGGTGACCTCAGCGTTAGTGAATTATGTGTTAAGGAAGAGTGATGGCGAACCCTCCAAAAAAG